CCCCGAAAAATAACATGAAAGAAATCAACTGTTAAAGACAAAGAAGGATTTCATGTTGAGAGGCCAGGCCTAGAGGTCAGAGCACAGGACTGAGAAGCAGGAATCTCAAAACTTAATCTTGTTTACTGAGACTGTTACCTCATTGGGTCCAGGATCATCTCTTTGTTATGTGTTTGTGCCGCACCTAGCACAATGGGACCCTGATTAATGACGGGGATTCCTGAGTGCTATCATAATACAAGTAATACAAATACGGTATTCATCTCACATCTTCCATGAAAAAGCTACATTAAACAATAAGTATTAACCAATTTAACCACTGTTTAAACAGTGGCTGGGTTTCATTTAAAATATTATGCATTTGAGCAGCTAACTGGTGCCGGTTATTTTGCTACAGGTTCTGAATAAGGACACAAAGCACAGCCTTCCAGGGGAAGAGAAGCAACTCGGCTGCATAAGTTAAGACTATATTGATTTGACAGATGTAGGGCACTGAACGACCTTCCCCAAGAGCAGGTCTCACAGGAACAGTGAAGACAATTTTCAAGACTGTCAAAAGAACGAAAAACATGACAGGACTCCAGGCACCCAGAGCATCCCCCCATTGCTTCAGATTTCCCATCACTGCAAGAAGTAGTTCCCAAACGGTAACTCATCAAAAATAGGTTTCATGTCATTAATCAGGCTGGCTACCTTTTCACACAGCATTCGAAGAGTCAGCCATCCAGGTGATAAGAGGCTGCAAATAAGTGTAAAAAAAAAAAAAATAAATAAAAAATTCTAGGTACTAACTTGGGTGGAAATGGTCAGATTACAGAAAGAAGTCAGCATGCTGAGAGAGACACACAGAAGATCAGGGAAACAAATCCAACATTGACACGGAAAGCAGCACAAATTACTTCTTACCTCTGCAAGAGGGAGGTTTGCTTGCCTTGTTTCAGTGAGCGCTGTAGCAGCTCCAGTGCTTTTGCCTGAGTCTGAAGAAAATATGCCCTCTTGACTCTTCAGATGGTTCTGACTTTTGCATCGCACCATTTTTTTTTCTTTTTTTGCCAACAAGGTCCCTGATCTTGCAATGAAAACTGCACAGGCAGAACCCCACTCAGTCGAATCAAGTTCTAGGTCTTGGTCCTTCTCTTCAAGGTGCTCAGTGGCCTGGACTTAAGGCATCTAAAAGATCAACTAAAGCTCTGGGATGTAGACAGTGGTTGACAACTTTGCTCCCCTGGCACAATGGAATTGTCTACAGTAAGGGTAAAGCTCACCTGTGCAAGAGACAGAGCTTTCTTGGGGACCGGCCCAAGACTGTGGAGTGAACTCTCACAGGAACTAAGGACCATCACAAACCCCACCAAGTTCCTCTCCAAGTGCATTGTGCATTTCTTTGCCTTCTCTAACAAATACATACATACATACACACACACACATATATATATATATATATATAAACATTCCAAACCAGACCATTGCAATGCACACACTCCCCTAGGAGAGGATGAGAGCACAACCACCACATGACAGATGTGTAGTCATGTTGCTTAACACACTACTGGAAGGGACTCAAATACTATGTTGATGAGCACAGTCTAGGAACTTGTATAAACCAGAATTTACAGGGGTTCCACGTAGGCACAAAATGTGTGTCTACAATGGTCTCATTTAACTCTAGAGGTTAAGATTAAGCATATGCATAAATCTTTGCAGGATCGGGGCCTAAATTATACCTGTATAATGTTTGTGTATTAATTTGTAAAGGGTTTCAAAACTCTAGAAAGTTGCTATATATCGTTATTAACTCATTCAACCACTTTTCCCCAGTTAGCTATAAAGCTGAGCAACATGAGCTGCAAAATAGCCAAATTTCTCAAATCCGAAACAGGAACAGGGAAGGAGTAGATGTGACATTCTCAATGTTTTATATACTGAAAAACAGAGCATAAGGGAACTGGATAATTAGGGGACTGGGAACAGGATGATGAAATACAGTTCTTTGCATTTGTCTCAGGTCGGTAACAGTCATTTTATGCCCCAATCCTGAGACTGGCTACATGCCACTGACTTCAGTGGCACTTAATGAGGCTGCAGGGTTCTGTCCAAACGGAGCAAAATACAAGAGTGGAACTGTGGTTCCCATCTTGGGGTCAGAAAGCTTGCATGCTCCTGGTGCATCTTTTTGTGGAGACAGCCTCAGTTTCCTATTTTATTTATTTGGCACTGTTTCTGGAGTATGACTTTTTTTCCCCCTAGAAAATTGGATTACAATTACCAGATTCTGAATGTAAGTTGTCTCATTGTACTTATCAAAGTCAGAACAGGATGACTTGCTAAAACAGATACTTTAGACACTTCAACTTTCCACTTTAGGAGGCTGCAACCCGAGTACATGGACATCTCTCTTCAAAACAGGAAGTATAGTTACAAAAATCAAACAAGTTCCACCACAAGTTAACTTAAACCAAGAAATGAACCAAGCATTTTGAGAATTAACTGCAAAATACAGCTACACTGAACTGGCATTTTTATACTTCCGCAGGATGAAATGCTATTTGATGATGTTAGACTTTGATGACATACTCCAAGAACTTGCTTGGAAGAAATCCATACAGCAGTCTTGCAAATCATGCTATTTCAGTTTTGCAAATGATTAAGAGAAACATGCATTTACAGTCAGTCGTAAGAGCTGTAGAAAGAAAATGGAACTTTGATACACAAAGATGAATTCCTTATCACATCTTGGCTGTGCTCACAGAACATGTGCTTTCCATTTTAAACTTGAAGAGAGAAAGTTACAGGTATCTCAAGCATGACACTAAATTCAAGAAAGTAGGTTGGTAATTTTTCCTTTTCAAAGATGGTCAGAATAAAAAAAAACAACCAAAAATCAAATGTAGCTACTAGCTAGTTCCCAAATTCTTATACACACTTTCCTAAATGTTCATTCATAAAATGATCTACATGGAGTATACCAGCTTCTCCCCCATTGGCACAGAGAAGTGCAGATCACATCTCCTTAGGTTTGCTGCACCATGAATGAAAGGAAGATTCACCTTTGAGAGGTGTTGCACCACTGCATTCCACCCTACTTCAGGAATTCTATTTGGGACGCCGTAGGATCCATGGAGGCTGCAGTAGGGATGCGCCAAATCTGCACATCCCTAAGCCACAAACTCCTCCCAACCACCACCACTCCCTCTCCGAGCAGCACTGCTGGCCTATGTGCTCCTCAAAACACTGAGAACCAAATCCCAGTAGTCAAGCTCGTAATGAAATGCTACCTTGTGGTTTATTTTTATCAATCTTTAGTTTGCAAGACCCAGAAAAATGCCCAAAGCGCTTCATTGCCTTCGTTAGCATCCCCACCTACAGGTATGACAGAAAGAATAAAAAACAGCACTCTGTAGTCAGGGCTGAATTAATCTTTTGTGGGCCCCACCCCCTGCTCCGCCCCAAGACCGTGCTACCGCTTAGCCTCTTCCCCCCGAAGCCCCATCTGTGCTCCACCCTGAGGCCCCGCCTGGCCTCTTCCCCTCGAGCCCTGCCTGCTGCTGGCATGGGGGGAAGGAGCAGAGAGGAACGAGCAGCAGTGGGACCTCGGTGGGGAAGAGGCCAAGTGAGGGCAGGGCCTCAAGGTGGAGCATGGGGAGGGGAGGCAGGGCCACAGTCCAGGCACTGGGGTCCCTTCTGAGGGCAGGTCTACACTACAGCTGGGATCAATGCTCTGAGATCAATCCACCGGCCGTCGATTTAGTGGGTCTAGTAAAGACCCGCCAAATCAACTGCAGATCGCTCTCCAGTCGACCCCTGTACTCTGCCACAACGGGAAGAATAAGGTAAGTTGACGGGAGATTTTCTCCCGTCGACCCCCCGCGGTGTAGACCCCACAGTAACTCGACCTAAGGTACGTCGACTCCAGCTCATTATTCACATAGCTGGAGTTCCGTAGCATAGGTCAACTTACCGCGGTAGTGTAGACATTGCCTGAGTGTGGGCCCAGCGCCATTGTAAACCTGCTACTGTCTGTAGTACCCCAGTGAGTGAGCCCCTGGAGCAGAACCTTCTGGGATACCTCTGAGCTTGGTGGCTCAGTAATTTCTTCTATTCTCTCTCTATTTATCCTTGCAAGGGATTGAAGCCATGTCAACAGAACCTCATGGTCAACAGTATCAAAACAGAACAAGTAGCTACATACCATAGCTCGACCTAAAATGTGATTGACAGAAACTGTTCCACCTTGCATGTTGCTGTGATGCTGGGAGTACCTTTCCCAGACTTGAAGGAGAGCTCTGTGTAGCTCGAAAGTTTGTCTCTCTCACCAATAGAAGTGGGTCCAATAAAAGATATTACCTCACCCACCTTATCTCTCTAAAACCCTGGACTGACATGACTACAGCTACACTGGATACAGGAATTGTTCATGGCAGCAGCATATCTGCCGGTGATTGAAGGATGGAGTGAAGCTGCGGCTGATAAAGTGATGTTATATGCCTCAAAGTCACAGTGAGGTATATACAAACCACCAAAAAAAGGAAGGGATTGTTTCCTCGCCACTTGAGAGGCTCCCTGATCCCCCTGGTGCCTTGAAAGAGCTGTGATATCCCAGACTTTCCAGGGATATCACATTGCAGGCACAGATAAAGAATGGAGCAAAGGCATAAAGAGTTTGCACTGAAATCCATGTGCTGATGTCTGTACTTGAAGTATTATGCGTCCAAATTATTTTATTTAGATTAGAAGCCCCCTTTGGCAAAGATCACAACTTCCTCTATATTTTGTACAGTACTGACCACACTGTTGTTGCTCAATAAACAAACTGAATATCTCTCCAGAAAGTGATGGTGATATGTTTGCATATACGACTATTAATGGTAGCTGTTATTTTTAAAGGGAGAACACTGGATTTTTTTGAGGACCGTGACTAGTTAAGATGTTTCTTGTCATATAATTTGCATTTGTTTTATTTGTATTCTTTAATCTTTTAAAGATTTCCATATCATCTCTCATACAGTCACAGTTCAAGAATGAAAAACAACTCTAAAGAAACTTACATGCCAAAATATTGAAAAAAAATATAATAACTCTTGCAAGAAGAAATACATATAGTAAAACCACAAAGAAGGCAATTGTGTCTGTGTTGCCTTATTGTTTGTTAGGAGAGTTCTAGGAGTGAATCAAAACTGCTCAACATATTTAAGAACATAATCTTCTTTCAATACTTGGTTTTCAAATATATTTTACTTCCAAACTCCCCTTTTCAATAACTGAAAATCCATTCTGTTACGATGACCAGCTAACCAGCATATTAAACTTATGGCAGAGTCATTTATGTGTTCTTCCTCTCCAAAGCTGTTTCTCCTTTTTTGCTGTGTTGTGGTTTAGCCTGTTTCTTTCAAAAGATCTGTCAAGAAATCCCATTGATTTGTATAATTCTTCATAGAGATCAAAATAATTTCAAAGGCCTTTGAGACATACGATAGGCCCCAATCCTTTACCCATTGAAATCAATGGGAATTTTGCCAGGGAATTAAAGAGGTCTATAATACAGATCCCCTTCATACTCAAATACTCAACATATAAATGCATTTTCAAATAAATCAGAGTGAGGGCCATTTAATCCCAGTAATGCTGAAAAATTACATTCTTTTATTTTTGTTTAAAATACTTTATATATTCACAACAAAATAATTTTCTAGATTTACATTCCGATGAATACAAAATTACAAAAAACAGTAAGTAGAAAATAAACAGTACTGAGAGATTTCATGCCAAAAATATATGGATTATAACACTAGCTAGACAAAATACTTCCCTAGAAAATTTTCAGATATGTGACTGTTAATAAAAACCCCATGTTTTAAAAGGTATCTGTTCCTGAAGAGTCTGAATCCCCATGTACCGTACTGATACTTTGCGTCTGGTCATCTATATTCATGGAAGGCAGCATCACTGACATCTTCGCCGGAGAAGTCAGTGAACTTAAATGTGGTACAGTTTCCTCTCCTAAAATAAAAGGCAAAATAACGGTAATTACGGTTTTTTACAGTCCAAATATAACAATTTCAAACGTACTAAAGCTATCACCTTATTGCATCATCTTATGGATATAAGGATACATACTCTTATGTCAAGGATAGACATATGGCAAAACATAGGCTGGATGTGTTACACAGCCAGCTACATCTTTGTCTCATATTTCCCAGCGTGGTCTTAATTCAGCCACTACATTTCTTTATAAGGCACTCACACACATATAGATATAGAGGGTGTGTGTGTGTGTGTGTGTGTGTGTGTGTGTGTGTGTGTGTGTGTG